GAGGTCCCAAGTTGATATCAAATGATTTCCTCAGTCTCCCCGGGCTTTTCAGGTGAAGTGGGGGCTCTCTGAGGTCGGAGGTGCCATGTGCACCTGGCTTCTAAGTGGGTCCTGAGGTTTCAAACTCTGGTCCTCACATTTGTGGAACAGATATTTGTCCACTGAGCCCCCTCCCAAGCCCAGCAATTGTGTTTGCTGCAGAAGAATCCCAAACCCTGTGAGAATAGTGAACTCTCTATCTTAAAAATGCTTTCTACAGTGAAAACAATTGGCAGTGAAGCAATTGGCTTGCTGACAGGTGCCAGGTGGAGGAATTCTGAAGGACTTATGTGTGGTGCACAGGCTTCTGTCTAAGCACAGGGATGCTGAAATTGAGCATGTATGTGTGTGTATGCATACATGTGTGTTTGCATATGTGTGTATGTGTTATGTATGTATATGTGTATATGTATGTGGGGGATGGAAGGGTTGTCCCACCATACCACTGCCTACTTTCCTTGACTTTGGGATGTATGGATGAGTGGGGGAGTAGAAAATGGCCCTCACTTTCCATTTTCAAAATGACTGCCTTATTTTCACTTTCTTACCATGATTGGCCATGACTTCAGCAATGAAAACTTAGTTAGTGTAAGCTTTAACTTTGCCAGAAAATTGAGACTTTTCCAACAGCTCATCCAGACTCGACAATTTGTCTACTTCATACTCTGATTGATTTCCTACCACACTAATCAATCCATCTCCCATTACAGCCATAAAGTTTTATTTACTTCGGGAGATGGAAATTGACTGGTCCATTTTTTAAAATTATTCATACAGTTTCTTAGACAACAAGAGGTAGGCTGGAATGCCCTTCATCTGCACCCTCCTAAGGTTTCCCACTTACCTCTTCTTTGCTTTGGTGCATTGTGTGTGAATACGGCTTCTTCAACCTTGACCTTTGAGCTCTTTAAAAAGGGGGATCTTGGTCTTAGATGGTGGCTCCACCATCTAAGTTTTCTCCAAGCTTGAACACTTGAGTTCTATTCCCCAGGACCCTCATGAATAGCCAGGCAGCTGGTGCATACTTGTAATCCCAGTGCAGGGGAGAAAACAGACCGGTAAGCCTCAGCTCCCAGTGAGAGATCCTGTCTCAGAAATCAAGATGAAGGCCTGAGAGATGGCTCAGTGGTTAAGAACTTTTGCTACTCTTCTAGAGAACCTGAGTTTGGTTCCCAGTACCCACATGACAGCTCACAACAACCACCTGAAACTCCAGCTCCAGGAATCCAGTGCTATCACCTGGCATCCAAAGAAACCTGCATTCATAAGCACATATCCCCACACAGACACATAATTAGAAATAGAATTTAAATGAGGGATGATGCTTAAGGTTGACCTCTGGCCTCTACACACACACAGAGAGAGAGAGAGAGAGAGAGAGAGAGAGGAGTAGAAATCCTGTTTTCCCATTTCTCCCAGTCCCCAGTTCCCAGCATGGCATTTACAATGGGTATTCATTAACTACCAGTTAAATGGATACGTATACCAAGGAAATGAAAGATTAGAGTAGCATTCTCAATACAAAAAAAAAAAAAAATGTTTTTTTTCTGCAGGGAAAATTTTTAAAATCTGTTTGCGAAGTGACTGGAGTGCTGTCGTGAGGAGCCTATCGTGACACTGTGGGATATGTCAGCCCTTGTATTTTCTTGTAATAACCAGATGAGATTGATCCCACCATTGGATGCAATATTAGTCAAAACTGCCTGGTCGCTCCTCACAGAACCTCTGAGTCAAGCGTCTTGGGGAAAGGAGAAATTCACTCACTCGCAGTATCCGCAGGGTCTGAGAGGTGAACTGGCTTCAAGGATGACTGCCAGAAGCGCAGATGGTGTTCAAAGTGCCCTATCTCTGCAGTAGCAACCACAAAGTCTGCTTGGCTCAGCGCTGGGTCCTCTACATACACACTGTGGTGGTTTAGCTTGGGGTGTTTGTGGGACTCCCAACAGTGGGAGTGGGGGTTATCTCTGACTCTTTTGCCTGCTTTTGGGACCCTTTTACTCCTAGTTGCCTCATCCAGCCTTGGTAATGAAGGTTCGTGCCTGCTCTTACTGCACCTTGTCACCCCATGTTCAGTTAATATCACTGGGAAGCCTGCTCTTTTTTGAAGGGAAACAGAGGAGCAGTGGATCTGGGGGAGAGGGGAGGTAGATGAAAGGGATCTGGAAGGAATGGAGGGAGGAGAAGATTCATCCAGGATGTATTGTATTTAGAAAAGAAAAGAAGAGAAGAGAAAAGAGCCCTGTCTGAGCCTCTGGCTTTGCATTATCTTCCTGATCAGGTTGTGCCCCTTGTTGGATCCAGATGGACATGACCTGTCCAGACTGGGTCAACCACCTCCAAGTTCAGCAGAAAAAGATGTGCCTTTCCTCGTGTATTCCAAAAGAAGCGCATGCCAGATTGAACTTGAGATTCCAAGTAGCCAGACTTGGGTCATTTGCTCAGACAACCATCTTGGACCCCTGATGGCTTCCTGGGCAGGCTCAGAGCATTGCTTTAGGGATATGCCAGCCTTTTGGTCACACACTCATGGTCCTGACAGGACTGATGTGAGCAGCAGAGCTTCTGCTTAAAAAGGGAGTGAGATGGGAAAAGAGCCTTGGGGGGCTATGAGTTGGCTCAGTGCAAAGTGTTTGCCACACAGCGCAAAAAGCAGAGCTTACGTCCTCAGCACCCACATAACAGCCAGGCAGGCATGATGACACGCCTGTAAACCCAGAAACTGGAGGTGGAAACCGGATTCCTGGGGTCAGCTAGATAAATAAACTAGACAAGTGTATGTACTCCAAGTTCAGGGAAAGACCCTGCCTCAGTAAATAGAGAGCCATCAACATCAACCTCTGGCCTCCATGCACATGAGCACATGTGCGCGCATGCGCGCGCGCACACACACACACACACACACACACAAACACACTTGAAATATCCATACCCTTTAACCCAACAAATCCACATCTTGGGGTCTATCATCCAAAGACAAACAAAAGCAGAAACTGAGCCCAAAGGTAGACACAGCTTCCTGAAGAAAGATGTCCATTGATTTGTTACTTAAACTGCCAACACTATGAAGAAGAGACCCAGCTATAGAATACACTACACACTGCTCACATGATTGTGTTTGACACAAACCTTAAACTAATGCTCAGGAATGCTGGTGGTATACGTTATTAAGTTTGCCATGTTCTCTTCCACACTGGGGGAAAAATCAGCCTGACTTTTCATTTGGTCTTTGAGTGCTTTTAAAGCTGTATACAGGGCTGAGGAGATGGTTCAGTAAAGCTTGCCTTGCAAGCACAAAGACCTGCATTCAGTTCTCCACAAGACATGCTGTTAAAAAAGAGAAGTCAGGTGTGGTGGCAAACACGTGTAACCTCAGGGCTAAGGAAGCAGAGACAGGAGGATACCTGCAGCTCGCTGAACAGCCAGCAAACTTAGGGAACTTCACAAGCCCTAGGTCAGCGAGAGACCTGCCTTAAAAAACACCCGAGGAACACCACTGAGCCGACCTCTTCATGCAGAAACTGAGCCCAAATGTAGACATGCTCCCCATGTGGGTCCACAGTTCTGGAAATAAATAGGAGGTTCCCCATTGTTGTCTTCCTCCTTTTGGTACCTCTTAGTTACTGATTGTTACAAACCCTAGTTTTGGGAGCTGGCACACTAGCAGAGCTGTGTTTTCGATTATAAACACCTTTTATTTTTGTCATTGAAGATGACCTCACTCAGACTCTCAGAGAGCATATATCCAAAAGATGCTCAAGTATACAACAAGGACATTTGCTCAACCATGTTCGTAGCAGCTTTATTTGTAATAGCCAAGAGCTGGAAACAACCCAGATGTCCCTCAATTGAGGAATGGATACATTCCTGTGGAATCCATTTATACAATGGAATTCTACTCAGCAATTAAAAACAAGGAAATCATGAAATTTGCAGGCAAATGGTGGGATCTAGAAAAGATCATCCTGAGTGTGGTAACCCAGAAGCAGAAAGACACACATGGTATATACTCACTTATAAGTGGATATTAGATATATAATTTAGGATAATCATACTAAAATCTGTACACCTAAAGAAAATAATCAAGAAGGAGGACTCTGGGTAAGAGAATAAATCCTCACTCAGAAAGGCAAATGGGATGGACATCAAAAGAGGGAAAAAATGGAACAGGACAGGAGCCTATCACAGAGGGCCTCTGAAAGACTCTACCCTGCAGGATATCAAAGCAGATACTGAGACTCATAACCAAACTTTGGGCAGAGTGCAGGGAATCTTATGAAATAAGGGTGAGATAGAAAGACCTGGAGGGGATAGGAGCTCCACATGGAGAGAGAAAAAAATCTGGGCACAGGGATCTTTTCTGAGACTGTTACTCCATCCAAGGACCATTCATGGAGATAACCTAGAACCTCTGCACAGATGTAGCCCATGGCAACTCAGTCTCCAAGTGGGTTCCCTAGTAATGGGAACAGGGACTATCTCTGACATGAACTCAGTGGCTGGCTCTTTGAACACCTCCCCCTGAGAGGGGAGGGCAGCCTTACCAGGCCACAGAGGATGACAATGCTGCCAGTCCTGATGAGACCTGATAGACTAGGATCAGATGGATGGACTGGGGGAGGGGCATGAGAGGAGAAGAGGGAGGGAGGGTGATATTGGGAGGGGACAAGGGAGGGGGCTACAGATGGGATACAAAGTGAATAAACTGTAATTAATTTAAAAATTAATTAATTTTAAAAAACAAAGACTAGTCAGTAGATCCCATTCTGATTGCTATTGCCAGCCTATAGATGGTAATTATCACTCTATCACCCTAGAGTGATTTCAGGTGATGCGTGTGTATATGTTTACACATACAGTCTGTAAAAATGTCATGGCCAATTAATGATGCCTGCTCTAGAAGGCATAGGGAACAGTGCCTCAAAACTAAACACTATCTTCTCTGGTGTTTTCTTGTTTTGTAGACTCTGGAAAATCCCAAGTATGAACTAATCATTGAAGCTCAAGATATGGCAGGACTGGACGTGGGATTGACAGGCACAGCCACAGCAACCATCGTGATCGATGACAAAAATGATCACTCGCCAAAATTTACCAAGAAAGAGGTAAGCCCCAGGACAGAGTTATGTGGCCTCTGTGGCTGCCGTGTGTCTAAAATGCTCAGGCACTGGGAGACAAAACACGGCTGGTCTTGTTAAAGTCCGTAAGAAAATACCTTTTAATACCAAAGTGCCATTCCCATAGCTCTGTGTTGTAAGAGTGCTGTTGCCATTTTCCTGTAATGGTAAGTGCAGATGGAGAGGACAGTCTGAGCAGCAGCAAGGAGGTAGAGTGGATTTTCTTGGTAATCACAAAGTGGCCAGAAGACATATGGAAACCCCTGAGTTATTTTGTGTAGAGGACTGTCTTTTATCACAGGCCATGTGCTGTTTCCCATTTACACCAACGGAGCAGCCTTCAGGGAGAGGCTGAGTATGTAAGATCTCATTCTTGCTGACTTGGTACCTGACCAAGAAGTCATAAGTGGACAGGAGATGCATGGGATGGAGACTTGCTAAGGTCAGGGCTTCTTGGGGTCAAAGCCAAGGCCTCCCAAGTGGAGGGCATAGTAAAGAATGCGCTGTGTTGAGATGAGTGTGGTAGAGAAGATGGTGGGATAGTTATGGAGAACAGGTAATGGGTACCGTGTTGCTACGATGACAATGAAATTCTAAAAGGGAGCTATTTTTGTTGAAAGGGCCATTCCACACACACCTTCCTCAGTAGCTCCCTACCTTACATACTGAGGCAGGATCTCTTACTTGCACTGGAAATCACTGACTGGCTGATATACTCAGCTTGCTCTGAACACCCCATCTCTGTCTCCTGAGCACTGGGATTATAAACTGCCATCATGCCCACCCAGCCTTCATGTGGACACTAGAGATCCAAATGCATGGCAAATACTTTTCCTGGTGCCCTATGAAGGGAGGAAGATGAACTGTAGACATTGAAGTTCAAGGCTTCTCAGCTCAGGGTGGAAATGCTGATTGTTTCGAAATGGGTCTGTCTCAGATGCTGTCGAAGAAGGTGTTTTCTGGTATGGACTTCTGCATGCACATCCGTGGTAACGGATGGGTGTGGTTGTTGGGAATGTGTGTCTCCCACATTTTCTTTATGTAGTGTTCCATTTCATCACAGGTAGGGTACCTTTTCCTCTGTTTCAGAGAAAGAACTGTTGAATAGAGGAGCTGTGACCAGTTATGTATAACAAGACTGGAAATGAGTCTGTTCAATAAAGACGTTTAACTCACACAAAACTTTGAAGCAGATGAGCAGTAACAATGGTACTATCCTAGCAGCTTCTGTCTTAGTTCCTTTTCTGTTGCCACGACAAAACACCATGACCAAGGCAACTTACAGAAGAAAGCATTTAATCTGAGGGTCACAGTTCCCAAGGGTTAGTACACAACCATCGTGGTGGAGAGCACTGCAGCAGGCAGACAGGCGTGACCTGTAGTTCAGAAACTGAGGCTGATTGCACATCCTTATCAGCAAGCATGAAGCAAAGAGAGATAACTGAGAGTGGCGTGGGCTTCTGAAACCTCAAAGCCTGACCCCAGTGACACGCCTCCTCCAACAAGGCCACGCCTCCTAATCCTTCCCAATCAGTTCTACCAACTGGGACCAAGCATCCAAACATATGCGTTTACAGGGACCATTCTCGTCCAAACCACCACAGCTTCCAAAGAAAGACTTCTGATTTCTGCCTGGAGCTTAGTAGGTGTCTGCTAACTCCAGCTGGCCAACTTATATTTTCCTGTCAACCTCAGGCCTTGGTGGGGTCAATCGGTGTCTTGTTTTAAAACCAGGTGTCGATCATTTTCTTCATGTTGTCAACCCATTTCCCTTTCAAAGTATGCCTTGACTTGATAATTGGTAAATTAGATTTAACTTTTTAAATTTTCTGTAGTTTTAATATACTGCTTTTGAGTCTGATAATTTCATGCATTGTATTTGGATCATATTCGCCCACCCCAAAACTTTATTACTCCTCCCAGATCTACCCCCACATCCCTCCAACTTTGTGTCCCCAACACATAAACTTTTTCTTAATAACCCACTGAGTCCAGTCTGTGCTAGCCATATACTTAAGGATATGTATAATCTACATACCAGTGGCCACACCCTTAAGAGAAAACTGACTCTCCCACCCTAGCAGCTACCAACTGTCAAGAGCCCCGTAGGCAGGCGAGTGGCTGGGTCTCGTGAGCCCCTCCCCCACTCCCTGCTGGAATGTTAGACTGGATCTGTCTTGTGCAGCTTGAGTTCTTCACAAGTGCATATTTTGTGACTGAACGACAACCTTACAATAGGTACAATAATAAGGCCGTACGATTCCATTCCTCTATCTGAAAATAAATAATTAATAAGAGCAAGCAAGGCTAGAGGAAAGCCCCAGTTCCCACAGAGGGGTGAAGACAAACAACCCCAGGCTGAAGCTGTCCGGCAGACCCAGAGGTCTAGACAGATGCTGGAACCGGTCAGAGGCAGCCCAGGATGCAGCCTATGACTCCTTGGTAGCTCCGGAGTCTTACGCCCCCCCTTTAGCTTTTTCAATATGGAGATGTTTTCTTAATCAACTACCTAGTGACACCTTGTCATTCTTTTTCACGGGCCTGTTGGCCTTCAGGGCCTCCGGGGCCTCATCACATCTTAGATAGGTAGCATCGTTTTCTAAGGAAAGACAAAAACGAAAGATCTCATTTTCCCTCCAGCAGAGCGTATTCTTTAAATTTTGCTGCATGTGATTGAGAGCTGGGAGCCTGCTCTGCCTTCAGAACACATTTCCCTACTGGAAAACTCGTGTAAGTGTTCAAGATTATTGTCATATTGGAGAAAATCTCTATCAGGCTTCTGTCACGTACATAGAAGTTGCTCGCTTTCCAGTGGTCCTGTCATGGCTAATCTTTACACTGATGCCATTCGTCATCCAAGCTGTCATCCATGGTCCTATTTTGTGGCCTATTATGAGTGCCATGTTGTCTTTATTGATATGAATGTGACGGCTCAGGACAGCGAGCATGTAAATCTCTTTCTAATGGGTTCATTATTCATCTCCCTTCTTAACTGAATTTAGCAAACAATGAAGGAGCTCTTTCACGTCTGGTGTGGACTACCTGCTTTTATCTTACAGAACTGCCTGAGGCTGGAAGCTGTGGGTTTATTTCATTTCTAAATTTATCACTTTTGATCCCTAATCTATTAAGGTTTTATTAGTAGCAAGTTTATTGAGACATTATTCACATATCATAGAGCGCATCCTTTGAGAGTGTGCAATTCGTTGGATTTTAATATATTCACAAAATCATGTGGCCATAACTGCTCTCCGATTTCAGAACATTTTTGTTATCCCACAAAGAAACCTGTGCCATCAGCACTCAATTCCCCCTTCCCCTGACCCTCAACCCTGGCAGCAATTAATCTGTTTTCAGTCTCCAAGGACTGGTTATTCAGGACATTGCAGATCAAGAGAATCCTATAGTAATTCTTGGTGATTGGGACTCTTTGCTTAGCATGTTTTCTAGATTCTTCCATGTTGTAGGATCACTCCATGCTTCATTCCTTTTGACGACTAAATAATACATATTACATTTTGCTTAGCCATTAATTTATTTGTAGGCATTTGGGCATTTTGATTGTTGGGTACTATAAATAGGCTGCTGTGAATACCCACATACACACCATACATTTTATCTGAATGTCCTTTTTTATAACTTTTACTGAATTTATTCCTTCTATGATTTTATCTGACATATGGGACAGTTTCATAAATGTTTATAATGAATCCTGAGCTCTGTCACCCCATCCTCTCATCTCGCTCCCACCCTTGTCGTCCCCGACCTATCCCCCTACAACATGTCCTTTCCACATTCATTTTGTTTTCTTTTGAGATCCTCTGAGTTTAATTGGGGTCATCTGCGTGACTATGGGTTTCAGACACTCCCCTAGTGCCTGGTGGGCTACCAGGAGGTAGACAGCTGGAGATAATGGCTGCCCCTCCCCAACTATCCACCAGTATCCAGAAGTTCAGCTTGCCAGGGTTTGACCCTGGGATCCCCTCCCCGATCCATAATTGACTGATGACAGGCCCAGTGCAACCGCTATGGGTCATGTTTATAAGGTACGTCATGCCTGAGATGGCATTTCCGAGCCCTACTCCGCATTCTCTAGCCCTTACATTCTTTCTACCTCCTCTTCAGTGTTCTCTGTGCCTTAGAAGAGGTGGCGGAAATGTCCTGTTAAGAGCTGAGCTCTCAATCATCAATTCTCCTCGTCACCTCGAGCTGTTTCCCAGGGTTCCTTCCAAACCAAAGTGTCTAGGTTTTCTTTCTAGTTCACAGTATCTGGAGTGAAGAGAAGCAGTTGCTCGCAGCATCATTCCATATTAGTCACCTGGATTAGTCTCGCCTTTGTTTCACTGAAGCATTTTGAAATAAGTAGGTTGTCCTCGGTATGGCTTAGTCAAGAGGCGTCACCTTCTTAATAAACACAGAGTGTCACAAAGATGCTTATATACAGCCTAGGAGATTTATCGCCTGACCAATAGTACAAACTCCCAAGTTTGTACTAAGTGAAGTGGGAGCCTGGAAGCTTTCCCCTGCCCCATAGACCCACTGCACCTCTGTCTTCTTCCACCACAAACTAGCTTTTCCTATTTTTCCTCTTTATAGAAATACGGGGTTTTAGCAGATGGTGGTGGCACACACCTCTCTTTTTAAGATGTGCAAAACTATTGTATTTACAAAAATGGCACAAAAGTCAATGCACTAGTCAAGGCACATGCACACCCATTCACATCTTCAACAAAGAAAGCTGTTTCCACACTGCAGCACCGAGGAAGAGTACCAGCCTCAATGGCAGCTGGTAAGCGTTGGAGGCACACACCTTTAGTCCCAACACTTGCAAGTCTGAGGCAGGTGAATCTCTGTGCCTTTGAGTCCAGCCTGGTCTGCAGAGCGAGGTCCTGGACAGCTAGAGCTTCGCAGAGAAATCCTGTCTTGAAAAACCAAAAGAAGAATGGGCACTTTGCAGCAAAGCTCTGAGAGCAGCCTTGTTGAAGCTCCACTGTCATCCCTGGTAGCCCCAATCTATCTGCTTCCATCACCATGCCAATGCATATGTAGGTACTCAATGACTGCGATGTGTGAGCATGTGGGTTGTTTCCTGCATGGGATCAGTTTGGGTACTGCTGGGACAGACGTGGTGGGGTGTAACTTTGGTACCTATATGAATGCATGTGTGTGGGAAGGAAGAAAGGAGGGAGTGGGAGGAGGAGGGAGGGGAGGGAAGGAGAGGAGAGCAGAAGAGAGGAAAGCAAAGGAGAGCAAAGCAGGTGCAGGAGAAGAGGAGAAAAGTGAATAAAAGAGGAGCAAACTCCCCTTGTGCCTCCTTTTGGATGCATTTAGTTTTCTAAGCTAGTTTGTTGTTGT